ACACAGCCAGTAAGTGTTACATATCTGAGGGCACATTTGAACTCAGGTCCTCCTGAATCCAGGCACGGTGCTCTATCCACTGTGCCACCCACCTGCCCCTTAAACAGGGATTCTTAACCTGTTTTTATGTCCTGAATGCCTTTGGTAGTCTGATAAAACTTATGGACCCCTTCTCAGAATAATAATTTTAAATATAATATATATGGATTTACAAAGGAAACCAATTATATGAAATACAATTAACAAAATATTTTTTAAAAAGAATTTCACAGACCTCAGGTTAAGAATCCCTAAGCTAGAGTGCCTGATATCTGTTATAAAAGATCCATCTCTTTGGATCAAATATTTTTCTCATTCTTTTAAAAAGGAAAGGTTAAACAAGATTAAGTACTTAAGATTTTCACATGATTTAGTTTTCTGCTCTTTCCTCTTGATAGGAGGGGATAAAGCATCAGGAGAACACTGTCATCACTTGAATCAACATGTGTTTTAGCCGCTCTGTCTCTGAAACCTTCCCATCTAGTCTGGGGGTATTACTCTTTCCCTCATAGTAAAGGAGTATGATTACCACCTAACTCCCTCTCTGCCTGGAGTCCTGCAGGCAATATAAACTGGACTTTCAGATGGCAGACCACAGAAGCATTTGTAGAAGTTCTCAGAAATCATCTCTCCTGGATTGGGATCCAGTTCAGAGAAATGACAGTGAGGAATGCTGATGGGAGCTCATTTCCAAAGAAAATCTGCAGTGAGACTCACTGTGTATTCCATGAAAGGAGGGATGGTTAAAGGGACTGGCTCCAGAGAGAACTAAAAACGCTTCAATTTCAATTAGTCTTTGAATAAACTAAGAGGCCCATTTCACTTGAAATGCTGAGAAATACAGGCCCAGTACCTGTGCTGAATGAAGACAATGTAAGAGTTTTATAAAAGTGAAAAGAGAAGGGGCAGGAAGCCACAATATGATAGCAAACATTCCCAGGGGGAAATCAGGGAGGTTTCTATGCAGCCATTAAGAAGGAATATACCAGAGGCTGTGGACAGGTGGTGAGATATGGGGCAGGTTTTCAAATTTTTCTCCTATGTCTTGTTTAGATGGTGAAAACTTCCCTGATTCTATTCTGGGGAATGTGCTATTTCTTCGCCTTTGTCATCTCTGTCAACTCATCTTCTTCCTTTCCATCTGCTTTCTACTTGCTAATTTAGGGCACCCCTTTTCTTTTCACTTTTAGAGAATTCTTAAATCATCTTAATCTCAGATACTGCGCCTATATATACTTTACATATTTTGATAACAACTCAATGAATTGCCTCTAGTGACAGGCAATGTTACCCTTGGAAACAAGCTCTCTCTCTCTCTCTCTCTCTCTCTCTCTCTCTCTCTCTCTCTCTCTCTCTCTCTCTCTCTCTCTCTCTGTCTCTCTCTGTCTGTCTCTCTTTCCTCTCCAGCCCCCCAGTTTTCCCTCCTGTGTCACCTTCCTCTACCCTACCACTCTCCAATCACAGAAACATTTCTCCATGTGCCTCAATTTTCTAGCCCACATACAACTAATAAATAGTAAGATAAAACAAGAGATGCAAAGCCCTAGGTAATTAACTCCTTCGATGACTGGTCTCTAAATGATCAGGAGTTGACTTGGCTTCATTTTAGCCTACGTTATGATGCTGATCAGCTAGAAAAAACTGATACTCTCCCTCCACTGCGCTTGCTGGAAACTGAGCTTCATCCAAAATGAGACAAAAGGAGAGAAGCCAAGAGCCATCTGAGCCCCAAAGCAGCAGCAAGTGGAAAACGGCTTAATCACACACCTATGCTCTGACCGACTGAACGAGAGGCTAAAGAACTGTTTCCCCACCCCTGGGAGTAGATGAATCCTTGAAGCAGTGGGCAATCAATGAGGAAGGCAAAGTCTTCATGTATCTCTCATCTGAGAGGCTGGGGCAGAGGGCAACACGGGCCCAGGAACACGGGGGAGGAACAAACACCTGTGGGACTTCAACTCGGCCTGCCGTTTTGGGATTGGCCTTGGCTGATTCCTCCTCCAACCAATCCAACAATCAGTCGCATTCACCCAGCTAGAAAAAGATCAAAGGCTGGGAGAGAAGCAATGCCATCATCTGTTTTTGACTGGAAAGAGAGTGAGGTTCAGGCATTGTCGTTATAGGTACTGATGACTTCATCAGCGTAGGGAACTCCTGGTGTGAAAACTCCCTCCACTGCCACAGACTGGCAACTCAACTGCAGTTTATAGATCCAGGGTGGGGGCACTGAGGGGCTAAGTGTATCGCTCAGGGACACAAAGCTATTGTGTGTAAGAGCCAGGACTTGGACCCAGGTCTTCTTCATTCCAAGAGAATAGCTGTCTATCCATTATATTATACTGCATCTCTTAGACTAATTCATATAATCATAGAATTAGATAAGAACTTAAGAGGCCACATAGTTTTTCCTTTGTTTAAAGAATTCATCTTTTCAAAATATCCCTGCAAGACGGTTATCCATCCTATAGTTAAATTCTTCCAGTGTCTGAGCTCACTGTCTCCTAAAGCAATCTGTTCAATTATTGATTCTCTGAAAATTCAGTGCCCAACTATTATAGAATACGCAGTGCAGAGTATTGTGGGACTGTTACTCCCCATTTTCTGGACAATATAACAACCCAAATCAACTAGACATATTTTCAATTTTATCTCCCACAGGTCATAGCTATACATGTAAGCCTACCCCTCAGTAAAGGCCTAAGCCAGTAACAACAGGGATCTGTATCAGACAAGGTGGGTGGGCAGGTCAATCAGAAAAAGTCATGGCACAAATTTTCAGAAAAATGATTCCTGGGATGGGGGCTGATGGCTACAGCACAACTTTCCTCAGACTGGCTTCTCAAAACAGACTCTGTGGTTGTGGAATTAGGCCAAGGGAAGTACCATGGTTGCCAAAGTGAAATAATAAACAAATAGCCTAGGGAGAGCTGAATGAAGTGGGATGGAGAGAAGAGGGATGATCTGTGAAAGGCGATAGGACTGTAATAGGAATTCTATCCTGAACAACTAATTAATGCCCAGAAAAAAAATTCCTAGCCCTGGGAGGGTAAATGCCACAAAGAACAGACAGAGAGCATAGAAAAGAAGGCTAAATAAGTAGAAAGAAGAGGCAGGGGGTAGAGGAAAGGGAGAGAAATGGGGGGAACAAGGAAAAAAGATGGGAAGTTGAGAGGGGCAGAGTAAGAGAAGAGGAGGAAGGAAAAGGGAAAGAATGAGAAAGATAAAGAGGTAAAGAGGTGGGGAAGGGAAACAGAGAGAGAGAAGGAGAGGGATAGAAGGATGAATAGAGTTACAGGGAGGTTGAGTCCTATTTAAAGAGAGTTCACTGGAGAAAATCCCTGAGAAATAGGTTTTTGGTCGCTGTCCTTAGTTCTCGAAGAGGACCAAAATCACATCAGTATGTCAGAGTCAAGTTATGGTGTGTTCGACTGTGGTTTATCAGACCAATGCGAACTTGGAATGCTTTACCACAGGTCAGACAAAAAAGGTCCATGTGAACATTTTGGGGGAGGGATTCTCTCAATTTGCACATCTCACGTCTCTGTTGAGCTACTTCAGTTCTGCTTTGCTTATAAAACACAGCACCTTCTTTGATGTGGGTACGCCATGTTGGGAGAATATGTTCAGAAATAGCAATTTAAAAATCAACCTCCAAAGAAAACCCTAGGAAGTGCCAGAATGGCTTAGTATGGGTAGCCTAGAAGAGTTGGAATTAGAAGTGGAGATAATGGATGGCTAGTAGCTTGGTTGAGAAGAAGACTGGAGGACTTAGGAAGGGGTGGAACAGGAATTCGCTAGAGCATGAGGATTTGCTAGAGGAAGTAGGGAAACTTCTTATGGATAGGCAATAGGAGTTGTGAACGACCTGTAAAAGGTAATAGATAAAAGGTTCTACGCTGACAAGGGTCACTCCCTAGAAGGAGAGAAGAGAAAACGGATTGTCTTCTTTGGTGGGGGGGGAAGTGTCTGTAAGAAAGTTTTCAAGAGAAAAGAGAAGTTTAAGCTACATCAGGAGAAGAGGAAGAAGAAAATAAAGACTAAGGCTGAGGCATAATCAGTGATCTTATGGGACCAAGGAAGCTGAGGAGCAGGAGGAAAAGAGGAATAATTAAGGCAGGAACCAAAGATTACCAGCCCCTCTAATGAAAGATGGAAAACAGGATGGGTGGAGTCCAGGGGCTGCAGGCTGAAGAATGTTCGTCCTGGGTGTCTGAAGGAATTGTCAAACCTGGCTTGGACAGTCATCTGAGGGCAAACTTAGGAAATGAGGAAATCATTATTAAAAAGGTGAAGAACATCTAACAAAGATTTTGTGATTGATACTGACAATGCACTCAGACCAGAGTTTCACAGCGAGTAGTTTCTATGATATGGGGAGAATGCACCAAAGCCAGTTACACTGCCATACACACTTTTTCACAGGAAACTTAAAAATAGGCATATGCACATATAGACACAGTTGTCTCTGTGTATACATAAGTTCACACACACAGGTACATGAACTTTTAAAAATTTCTTTGCCAGGGCAGCTAGGTTGCACAATGGATAGAGCACTAGCCCTGGAGTCAGGATGACCTGAGTTCAAATCCAGTCCCAGACCAGATGCTTGACACTTACTAGCTGTGTGATCTTGGGCAAGTCACTTAACCCCAATTGCCTCACCCCCCCCCCAAAAAATTCTTTGCGTAAAGTACAGGAGTGGCAGAGGTTAAAATCTTACTTCAAATGAAATCAACAAGAGCTCAATCCTCCCCCTCTGTCAGAGAGGCGGCAGTAATGAATAGGCTGTAAGACCCATTAATGAGAAATAACAGAGATGATGGCAAAAACACTTCCCCATTGGCCCAGTCTATCAGCAGCTAACAGCCCCAATCTCCTGATGGCCCGTGGAGACAGCTCAGCAGAGATTTGACTGAGGAAGAGTTATCAGGACCGGAACGGCCATGAACACAGGAACTTACATTTCCACGATGCCCTCTGGCAAGTTGGCTGGGATTTCTGTCAAGCCTTTTCCTCGACAATCCACAATATTGTTGCTACAGGTACATGCAGATGGGCAGGATATCGAATTGACACTGCAGGATGGAGGCTCTGAGTGGGCACCTGTGGGGTCAAAGAAGGAAAAGCCAATAAACAAGAATCTGGGTCTTCCGGTTCTCACCCAGAGCTTCCCATCAAGGTGGCAACGGCTCGGATCACTTAGGCCCCAAAGAAGAACTGGGCAGTGAATTATCTGGATAATCATTGCCAATTTTCCGCTTCAGAGAACCTACAGAGTTACAGCTGCCACAGACTGTATATTCAGCAAGCGGGAGACGTTCTAGAGTTTGGCCCTGACCCCAGCCCCTTTCCACAGTGTTCCTTCTGCTTTGTTACTCCATTATCCTTCTGTTTCAGAGGAAAAGGGGGCCTTGGGGTTAAACTAGAATAAAAAGTCGTCCGTGGAATCTAAAGCCAACGTAATGAAACAGTGTTCATAGGCTGCCAAACATCTGGAGGACCAGTGAAGAGCTCACAATATCTTCATCAGTTAGTCTTGATGAGGCCAAACCTCTGCATAATTAGAAATATTTGGATGACAGGCTGGGTTTTCCAATTTCCATCTGGCTAGTTGGTGTTGGATGGAGAAACAACCGAAATTTAAGTGAATGTCAAGGTTAGATTCTAAGCACGAAAGTGCCTGGGCCACTTTTTAAGGCAGGAAGTCCTAGAACCAACTTACCCAAACTCTAGGAGGAGCAGGAGGAAAATAGACAATATTTTCCACAGTTTTCCCCTGATGTGCTTTCGTCATAGTTGAAATAAAACTGGACTACTCATCATCTCCTGAAGGTGGCCCACGCCGTCTCACTGCTACTCTCTTACACATACTCCTCTTTACACCTGAGACACCTTTCCTCTCCAATCCCCACTTCACTGACATTTTCATTGTTCGCCGGCTGTTTCATTTGTGTCTGATTCTTCATGACCCTATTTGGGGTTTTCTTGGCAAAGACACTCGAGTAGTGTGTCATTGCCTTCTCCAGCTCATTTTACAAATGAGGAAACTGAGGCAAACTGGGTTAATTGTCTTGCCAAGGGTCACACAGCTCGTAAAAGTCTGAGGCTGGATTTGAGTTCAGGTCTTCCTGACTTCAGGCCTGGTGCTCTATCTACTACCCATCCTTTAAGAATCAGTTCAAATGATACCTCCTCCATGAAGCCTCTCTTGGATCCTTGACTGGAAGTAATTTCTCCCTCATTTAATGTCTTACTTCTCTTCTTGCGCATTTATCAAATTCTAATGTATATCGTATTTATCAATTGTGCTGTCTCTCCCCTATCAGACTGCAGGATTGTTGAGGGTAGGGACAGAGTCTGTTTATTTCTTATTTATTTATCTGGCTCCCAGAACATATTTTGTTGTTGTTGCTGAATGAATAAATAAATTAAACATCAATGCCTTTTCTACTACCTGGAGGCTTTCTGACTCAACTGTCAACAGAGTTTACCCTCAGTGACATGAAAGGCATTTTGGAATCTCTTAGAATTTAGGTATGCCTTAATTCCAAGGGATAAAGAACAAAAAAACAAACCAACACATGAAATACAATAATTATAAACACTAAAGCCATCCCTCTGCTTTGTGTGCTTTAGTGGATATCAAGTTAGAACCAAAGCCAAGTGATAAAGCCCCACAAAAAGCTTATTTATAAAGCCAAATCTGGGAAACATTGGAAGCCCCTGAAGAAACTCAACATTCATAGAGCAGATAAAAATTCCAATTCCTCTCTCCATTTCTACCATCATATCCTTGTCCAAGAAGATCTTTCAGAAGTTTTCAAGAGATGTTTTTTTGTTCTCTTACTCAATTTTTTAATGTGAGCTAAAAATCTTAAAAACATAGTCAGTTTTCCAGTAACAAACTGCCTGTGAATTGGGAAATTTATGGCCTCCAAAGCAAACCAGACCCAAACCTGCTCTTCTCATCCCTGATTCCCCAGCAGGGCCTCACTACACCCCAGCCACATTTATCCACAGATGGTTTAGTTCAATTTCTTTTCAACCCCTACCTTGCTGAAGGAAGGATTTCAGGCAGGGAAAAACCCAGCCCAAGCCTATCGACCTCATGTTGGACAGTCTAGAACCTGTGACTAGAACCTCTCAGGCCACAGATTAAAGAGGAAATGTAGGAAAATTCTTCAAGGAAGGAAATATATATATAGATATATGTATACACACACACATACATATACAGACACACACACACATATACATACACATATATACACATACACACACACATATTTTGGTTTGCATTCAATTCACCAGAAAGACTCAGAAGCTTAAAGTGAGTCAGAGCTGCAGCTGGTTTGGAGCAGAGAGCCAAAGTGCCCAAAGCAGATCCTCAGTTGGACTCTTAAGAGAGAGCCTTTTACCACCCCTGTTGAAATCTCCTCATGCCAGAGTGTGTTCACTCTACAGATCCTTGGACTGAGGTCTGAAGCTTAATGTGGAATGCTTAATATGGCAGCAGGAGCCCTGCCTCAGCAAATGCCAACAGCAATTAGCATACGTACCCTGGGACAACATATAATAACCGCCACTCAGAGACCCCTATATGCTTCACCACCCCCCATCCACAGACATGTACAAATTATACACGTCTCCCACCATTATGAATTAACTTGTATATCTGCTGAGGAACTTGTGTGCATAGGGATGAGGACTTCAAAGTCATATAATACCTAGTTATACTGACCATCAGGAGAGCCTAGTAAGATATAATGGAAAAACTCTGTTGGAATGGAGAAATGACAAGGGACCATAAGAAGCTAGAATTGAGTCATTCTCCTAAAGATGGAAGAAATAGCAGACATATTTCCAAATGGGGATAGTTTACCAGTTTCTGAAAGAATCCTCCAGATAGTTACTTTTCCTGCTTCTTGGAAGTATCTTCTCCTTCCGCCATTTGGAGATTTTAAAAAGGAATATTGGGGGTAAATGGCTTCCATCCCATCAGCATGCATCAGAGAGATGCACCGTTCTTGGGCACAAATGTCAGGATTTTGAAATGCAGATGGCTCTACCAACAGAAACTGCCAGTGACTGGTCTTCTACATCAAGGGGTGAATTCTCCTGACAAAAGCAAAGGAGAATTGCAGCAAAACCCATGCCTCTTGTTTGAGAAATGTCATGAATTCCATAGAGAATTGGTGTCTGTGCACTTGAATTTCCATCAGTTCAAATAGACTGAAGCCGATGGTCATCTTTCTTTTGATCTGCCAATATTATTTGGATAGGATGTGTCAGAAAATGGGAGAAAGAGAGACAATGTGTGCTCAGGCTGATATTGGAGGCAGGAGGTGCTGAAATGGACTTAAAAAAAAAACAGGTCCTTCCAACTTTCCCCCTGCAGCTAATTCTCTGCAAAGTAAAATCGAATTGGTACTGAAGCCTCTCCTGGGGGTTGTTGTGTTTTTCCACAGAGTCCTAGTGGCTTTGTATATGTGAAAAGTACATTCCATGTTTCAAGCAGCACTGTCCAATATGAAGAAAAAAGCATTTTAAATCCAAAGATTTTGTTGCTATCTGCACCTTACATTAAAACAATGGTTTAAAAAAATATCTTCCCCCAGTATCTTGGGCTGCCATTAATTTGGTATTTGCATTCAATGAAGCTAGTCTCTACTTTCTTCAATAGGATACTTCAGGGTTAAGCCGGAGACCAAAAATTCTGCCCCTTTCAGTACTACAGGCCATGGACCTGCTTTTTGACAAGGCTTTTGTATTTGGAAACCACTGTGGTCATAAATGCCATGGTGGAAGGGAATTTCTGAGGGTATTTATTCTAATTCATTCCCAAGTATTTGGGAATATTATTGACAACATGGTAGATAAGTGGTATTCCTCCCTCTGCTTGAAGGGGGAGTCATGGAGAACTCTCGACTTCTGTAGTCTGTCCTTTCCAGACAGCTCTGTTAAGAAATTCTATACCTCTGTTTATGTGAAATGTGCTTTGCTGTAACTTCTATCCATTGGTTCAAATTCTGCCCTCTATAGCCATGCAAGATTTGCTATATCAGTCTCTCTCTCTCTCTCTCTCTCTCTCTCTCTCTCTCTCTCTCTCTCTCTCTCTCTCTCTCTCTCTCTCTCTTCTCTCTCTCTCTCTCTCTCTCTCTCTCAATATTTAAAGAATGGCTGTTGTCTCCCCTCCCCTTCTTACTCTTCTACAGTTCCTTTAACTGGTCCTCATATAGTTTGAATACTGCATTCTAAAATGTGATGTCCATCCCTGGGCTTGACACTATAGGTATGGTCTGACCAGGATTCAACACAAAAGGGCTACCATCTCCTTTATGCTGAAAACTATACAGTTATCCCTTCCACATCATGGGGTGTAGGGGTGTAGTGCCTCTGTGATCTGGAAAATTCATGTAAATTTTTTTGGCCCTCCCTTCGTACCAGAGAAGACAGTCTGAATTTTTTCTTTTTCTTTTATAGGGTGTTTACAGTACCTTATTGTAAAATTTGGGCTAAGTATTTGACCAGAGGCTCTGTGCTGTCTATGGACCTTCTCCTGGCATCTGAGGCTTCTGTAAAACTACTCCAAAATTCCCATTTAATTTCTTATTCCAAGCCATGATATATCGAAACTGCAATGGGGAAAGTCGAAATGTGGAAGGGATAACTGTACTTCTATTTTTATGGAATTAAGATCCTACTAGCTTTTTTTGGCTTTCATATCACCCTGCTGACTCCTACTAAGCTAATAGCCAATTAAAACCCTCTGGTCTTTTTTTTCACATAATGTACCTTCTAGCTATGTCTCCCTTCTCTTATATTTGTACAGTTGATTCTTTTGACCCAAGCACAGGTTTTTACATTTTTCCCTATTAGATTTCATCTTGTTAGTTTCAGCCCACTGATACAGCTTGAGATTTTTAACGTCATAATTGTGCGACCAGTGTATTAGATTATCCCTCTCCACTATGACAACGTGAAAAACAACTTTGAGATCTGTGTCATCTGCAAATTTCATTTTTACACCATCTCTGCCTTCATCCAAATCACTGGTAGATTTGAGGAGATTTTTCCCATTTGCTTTTTGCCTCAGGGAAGCT